CCTTTTTTTAACAACCAAAAAGTTTTGTTGTCTGTTGCGGAAGAACAGACGTTCCTCTCGTTGATAGCAGATGAGCGGATCCAGCGAGAGCTTGATGGGGCGACGTGGAATGAAAAAGTTTTTCAGGAGTCAGTAGAGGCAGCGCAACTATAACCACATGTGAATAATCCCGCCCACTTTAAAGAGGTACTAAACTGCAGTGGAAAGCAATTAATCGCAACATGAAAATTTGATACCGGCATATCCCTAGTGGAAACGCAAACCGAGCAGAGCCATGCCGTGCCGTACTGAGCCGTGCCGAGCCGAGTCGTACCACGCAGTGGAAAAGTGCCATTAAATGCTCTGTAAGGCCTGGTTTACACCTGGTATTTAGATGCATTTTCGTTGATCTGATCACAAGAGAACAACACTAAATATAGGTGTAAACACGGTCTAAAACATACTTGTCCAATTTCAACCACTTCCAGAGGTAGTTAAAGATTGCTTTCATAAAGTAGACGCTCATGTGGTCAAATGCGTTCAAGCAACCACAAAATACCACCGTCTTGCCGCCCACTTCCCTAACATGTAACTGTAATGGGACAGGTTTTGAGAAAGCACAACAAAACAGTCGATTCAAACTATGCTTGCTACATTGTGCCAAAACACACAGATTAGGATTCAAATTGCAGTTACCTTATGCCGGTTTCACACTACATGATTTTAACCCCCCCGGTTTTCACTCGCAGACAGTTTTGTGGAAATTGCAGATTAATGCACAAAATCTGAGGCAAATTGATGCTTGTTCACAAGTGACAACTGCATAGTGTGCATTATCACAATTTGAGAAAAGCACTGTTGGCAACTGTCTGCAATTCTTCCTACTACTTCCTACTGAAAAGCTGTGTAATGCGAACCCCTAGTCGCCGATCTGTCATATAGCGTGTGCAGACAACAGCAAATAGATGGTTCCCCAGATAGTCATGCAGTGTGAGAAGAGTAGCAATCCAACAACTTTGAAAATCGTGCAGTGTGTGCCCAGCTTAAGGTGACCATATGTCCCAGACATGTTCTAAATTGCCTAGATGTTTTCCTATTTACATTCTCTCTACAGTTCTCATACATTACATGCAGGGATTGAAATTAACTTTTTCACTCACCAGCCAATAGAAATAGCGCAAAAACAGCCAATATGGTGTCTAAAACGTAAGTCTCTAGATATTAACTTATTGTTTATTGAACTGTTGTATAAAATAAATATCACATTTGTAACCATGCTGATTTTTTAAGAAAAACGGCACTCTTCGTGTGATATTGATTAACTATATGAACTGATATAAATATATACATTTTCTGCCTCCTTATCTTGAAGTATGTGATCATTGTTAATGCATATTAATAGACTGAATCATGCAGCGAAAGAGCGCACCATAAAAGCGCATGCGCACTAAATCCTGTGTTGGTCTAACCAGACTTCATCTCGTCGCTTATGCGTGCCTCTGTAGGTGTTTTGTTTAGCTTTTGCAATATACTCGATAATGTCATGATGTCTCACGAGTTCAGTATTTGCGCTAAACCTGCGCAGATTTGACCTGCATGAACTTCCCCAAGAAATAAATGAGTGAACATAACTTACGAAAAGTAACCCGCCAAATTGGCTAGTGATTTGACAGCGTTACCCGCCACAGCTGATTTTTACCCGCATTTGGCGGGTTGGCGGGTGTTAATTTCAAACCCTGATTACATGTATGTGTATTTGCATTGTTTTGACTGTTCTCTGTAAATCCCACCTTCTTGCATGCCACAATTGATCAATTATTTATTCAAAGTCTAAACGCTATTGGTCAAACTACTTTTCAATAATTACCTTCAGCAAGTATGAAAACAACAGGAAAACAAAGCCAAAACCCAGACATTTTAGGCAATTTAGAAATCCAAGCCAGGATATGTCCAGTAAAAAGAAGACAAATGGTCACCCTATGTTACCATTCATATTCTTTCCTTTGCATGTAAGCAGCGTAATGGGTTTTGTATTCATATTTGTGTGCTGCATTCAGGCCTCTTGCAAAAGTGATGTAAAGTGTGGCAAAACAAGAAGGGACCATCTAGACGAAATCCAAGCGGGAAACACATTTAAAACAAATCTTAATACCAGGTGTGATCTGGGCCCGTATTTATCAAGCCTCTAAGAATTACTCTCAAGAACACTACTAAGAATTGACTTAAGTGTAAAAAAATTCTTGGCTCAAAGCTGCGCTTAAAAGTTCGTTATCAAGCATCTCATTGGTAATTTAAGCGAAGTGTAGGACTAAATCTTAAGTGTCAGTCTTAGAGATGATTTACGACACTTTGCTGTGCCACAAACGGGACTTTGGATGACGAAATACGCATGGACCAATCACTGAATAGATTTCCTTATTTAAGAATATTCTCAGATAAATTCACATTGAATGATTAAATTCCTAATAGGAGTTTACATTCAACACATTTGACAATAACAAATTTTCAAGAGAATATATTATGGCAAGGAAACGAAGCATCATCACAACCTTAGATTTAGGGTTGTGCCGGTAGACGAGAGTATCGTGTATCGACGATAGTCAGAGATAACGCCTGTTGCTGATGCCTTTGACGACAGCAAGACGATTATTATTATTATTATCCGTCAAAAATATAGGCGCCTATCTTTTCCAGCACGGAGAGTCGCTTCAGAAACTGGTGAGTAGCCGTGATCAGCTCCGGTGGCTGTGTCGGAGCCGTAACGCGCCGCAGACGTGTGCAGTGTAAATAAGGGGTAAGAGATTTAGGCCCAATCCCAATTCTATTTTATACCCCTTCCCCTTGTCCCTTGAAACAGAGTGTCGCGCAGCTCACACATCCAGGAGCAAAGAAACTTGTCAATGCTGCCCCACAACTTTTATTAATAACAGTTTAAATACTGAATCGCTACATTATATTTTCCAGCAATGAGAGGATAAAATCGCTGTTTTTGAAGTAAACTCTAAAGAGAGAAAAGCACAGACGCGCATACACGCAACTTTCATCTCTCTCTCCGTCTCTCGCTCTCGAATTGGCAATATTTGAGGAAAGGGTTTAGCGATTTCTAATTATTGGGGGTACTAGCCCTCCTCAATGTCTATGGTGGTTATCGCCCTGATCAGACATGAAAATATGTTGTGGCACTATCGTGCAGTCTGTAATGATATGACGTTAGCAAACTTTAGCGATTTTTTGCAAACATTTCTTTGAGTAACATGACCGTAAATATGAACTCATGATTGAATGTAACATAAAACAAATTATTACTTTTCGTTAAAATCTTTATTAATGCCCAAAATGCTTACATTTATGTGTCTTTTTGTGCGCTCGGGCAGCCATGTTGCCCCTGAAGCCGGTTTACGCTGAGATAATTCATACCCATTCGTTTGAAGTGTGGTCCCGAAAAATCTTCGTTTGAAGGGCTGTCTGGCCCTTCCCCTTACCCCTACCCCTCCGACCAAAAGAGAATCAAGACACCCCTACCCCTAAGGGGAAGGGCTAAGGGGTAGAATTGGGATTGGGCCTTATTCATCATACAGTGTAGGTAGCTTCACTGATTAAAACGGGAGTGTTTTTAAAGAGCATATAATACTCGCGCTAGACTGAAGTCAGTTATGATGTTCTTTGGTAATGTAAATATTCTTTGCTCGTTTTCTGTTTGAATAACTGAGGAAATGTAACTGTTTTATTAACTGCTCGTCATCAAATATTTCAAGAACATTCTTCCTCTCCTGAAAGATTCGCGAACGTCTCTGTCTCCTCAGCGCCATCACAAGCCCCTGCTGGCAACTCCTAACCACTTGAGAGACCTCTTGAGCTGTCTTAAATAACTGGGAGAGTAAGAGTGATTCTTGGCTTTAAGAAATTTGATAACTTGCTTTTATACTTAAGTTTGAAAGTAGGTGTAAATTTAATGAATTCTCAGCACTTAAGACTAAAATGACACTTTGAGAAGCTTGATAAATACGGGCCCAGGGCTTTAGACATCTCCCTCCCTCCCAGCATGTCCATATAAGGTCAGATGTTTACCTGAAGGTGAAAGTAGAGGTATCGATTGGTGTCGAGGAGCTCTGGGTGCAGGCTGTTAATGAGAGCAATGGCTTCCTGGATCTGACCTTTCAAAACCATTTCCCTGATCTTTATCCTCTCATCCAGAGAGTCTAGATCCACATTCGGCTCAATCCCAGATTCCATACGAAACTTCTCTGCAGCCTCTTTAAATCCCTCTGTGGAATACAATCATGATCAGAGGGGAAGTTTTATTCATTTTAATTTACAAATATCTGTGCATTTTACCTGAATAAAGCACTATACTATACTATAAAATAATACTGACATACCTGTTACTAGATAGTTCATGATGAGCCTGTTCATATCTGCCCTCTGAATGTGCACATTATTCAGTTTATCCATCCATTCCTCCTTTGTAATATCCTCAGGCTTTTCTGAATAACTCATGATGGATATACTGTGGTAAACACGACATGTAAAAATAAAAAACATTTTGCACACATCAAATATAAAAATGCATGTGAACTCGCTTTTAAATGCTATTATCAGAGAAGTAGATTGATTCACTTGTAGTGAACAATGTTTCTAGCTGTCCATGTTATCAAAAAAGAAGCCTATTTTCGCTTTTAAGTAGTCTAAGGTTCTGATGTAGGCGTTTGAAGGTAAATGAACGAATTGCACTGTGCACGTTCATATTTTCGCGGTGTTTCTGCTCATAGACTTTCAGCCAGCGGCTCACTGGCCAGTAAACAGAATACGCGACGAACGAATTTGGAAGGGTGACACTGATGCACTTGACAGGTTTAAAATTAGTAAACCATCGCTATTAAGGTATAAAATTTCGCATGAATTAGTTTTGCTTTTATCGAGGCATGAAAACAAACAAGCCCCGAGTGAACCACGGCAGCGCACGAGACTTGCAGACGGGCTTGTTCAGCTATTTTCTAACAATAACATTTGCAAATGACCACGCATGAAAACAAAGTAATAGCCAGTTATATTAAATTTAACTGTTGTTTATTCGTGTTATTTGTTTTTTTGTTTTTTGTCCCCCGCAAAATATGAAGAATGATGATAAAATACTTACTGTTTACGGTTATAAATAGCGGTGGGCCTCAGCGAAGATCACGCGATAACAGAGGAGAGCGCTTAACGAGACTTGAGGGGAAGTAAGTGATTGGTCAGAATAATGACGTCACGGTTGCTGTGGCAAAGCTGCTAAGGTTGCCAGATCAGGTGCACAGTGAACATAGAATGATCATTCAGATTTATTTTATTTACGGAACATTAATATCTGGAACAAGTATTTACTTATTTATTTTATTCGAATTTATTTGCTTGGAAACTATTTAAGAAAAAAATGTAAATACTAATTGTTTGAAACTGCAGATCGCGATTATAGCCTATTCGAAAACTGTCAGCTTTTGTTTACTGTTAAGTGTTTTCCTTACAGTCGGTGAAATGAAAATGTATTCTATTTTTTAAATGTATTATAGATCTTATTATGACTAATTAACCAGTGCATCTTTCTTTCTTTCTTTCTTTAAATTGACCTAATGACTAATCGAAATGTCATAACTGGACCTTAGCAATAATGACCTATAATATCTTTTTAGTATTGACTTTAACTTCTCCAGCAATTTCAAGGTTTTGTTCATGCAGAGATACAATATAACAATAACCTTTGATGGTTTACCTTGTTATTCTAAAACCTTCCCAAAACAAGCTCGAATTTGCCTGATCCTCTTATCTAACACAATGCTGTTATTGCAAAACGGGCATCAAAATATGGGCGAGAAAGATAATTGATTATGTCTGAGAGATTAGATGAGACTATCACCTTTATTATATGGACCAGATGAGAAATCCCCCTGGTGGAGGGGGAGAAGGAGGGGGAGATTTTTGTTGCAACATGTCTAGATAATACAGTACAATACAATACATCTATTGTTTACTTTCACTCCTCATAACATTGAAACGACAACAGCCAGTAAGTTGTGCTGATGATGACCAGAGGAGCCAATTAAAATGTATGTTTGTTTTTTTTGTTCTTTGAGGTTGAACCACACCATATGTTATTTCTCAGACAAAACAGGTGATGCAATAAAACTTTTGTCTGTGACATATTTGTATTGTGTGTGATTTTATTTCGTATTTATTTATTTTGTTAATAAAATCAATTGTATCAAAGGCTGACATTCTGTAAACAGCAGGCTAACAGTAATTTTGAGGGTATGAATATGTATTTTTTTAAACCCTCCAATTCATAAAAAAAAACATAAAGGTGCTCGAGTGTTTCTTTGTGCCCCATTAAAGAGGTTATAAAGATAAAAATCTTGGGGTGGTTGCATAAAAGGTTTAGACTAATATTTTTCTTTAAGACTGGTCATAACATTTCAAGTCGTTTACATAAAAATGTATATTGGTCTAATTTGGATCTAAAATATTAAAGACTCATTACCCCTTGACAATAACTGCTAGTCAGACTCTTAAAGGGGTCATATGATGTTGCTAAAAAAACATTATTTTGTGTATTTGGTGTAATGAAATGTGTTTATGCAGTTTAAGGTTAAAAAAACATTATTTTCCACATACTGTACATTATTGTTTCTCCTCTATGCCCCGCCTTTCTGAAACGCGTCAATTTTTACAAAGCTCATCGGTCTGAAAAGCGAGGTGTGCTGTGATTGGCCAGCTATCCAATGCGTTGTGATTGGCCGAATACCTCAAGCGTGTGACGGGAATGTTACGCCCCTACCATATTGTGATACCGTGTCCCGGCCGGAGTGACGAGACAAAAACATTAAAACCCATTATAAACGAGGCATTTGTTGCATCCAGTGGGGACATAATTACGGATTATAATGACTTATACTGTCTTTTTACGCGTTGCATTGCATCGCGCCGCGTAAACATATAACCATGTCTGCATTTGTGATCGGAGAAATGACAAACAACAAGCGCTACTCTACACTGCTCAAAACTTGCATTTGAATCGTAAGTGGCAAATCCTTTAAATATGAAAACTTACAGTCTGTGAGTCAGAACAGCCGGCATTGTAGTCTACTCTCCTAGGATCAGGAAACAGTCCTCCATAAAAAACGCTGCACACATCTGAGTATTTGGGTTGAACTGTTCTGGAACAGTGTTGTAAATACAATTTAACCACTGATTTCTAGTTGTGTCCTCTTTTTGAAGGCCAAACAAAGTAGTTTCACTTTCACAACGAGACACACAGCTCACGACATGGCAGCGGCAGCAACAACAATACTACAGCGAGAATAAAAGTTACGCCTTCTTTCTTTGCGTGAACATTTGGGTGGCGTTATGCAAATCTTCCCACATCTTGACGTAGACATGTGGGGGCGTGTATGAACGAGCCGTTTTAGGTAGGCGTGGTTGACTCTTAACTTTTATAAAGAATATCTCTTTGGATTTGAGACTTTAGTCTTTGCAACTTTACAGATCTTCTTTATGCACCAAGAGCTTGTAACACTCCAAAGAGAAAGGAAAAATTTAAATCGCATCATATGACCCCTTTAAAACAGTCTTACCATAGTGGCTAAGTTCATGCAACTGGACCCACATTTAAAATGTTTTCATTATCTTCATAGTGTACAGTACAAGTTTCCTTGGTTATTTTTTATATATGTGTATTTTCTGGGGGGTTTTTTTTAAACACCATGCTTTCAAAGAACTATAAAGTCTTTTGTGGAACATGGTTTTCTTATGATGCTTTAAAATCCATACTCTATTTTTGCATTTTTCAAAATACATCCTGTTTTTAATGATGAGCTGCTTAAGCTAAATCTTGTTTAAGCTAGTTACCTTACATTCTGACCATGTTTTTGCATGTTAAATACATAAAATGAATAAACAGGCCTACTTTTCAAAAACAAAACTCTTTAGGCTACTTTTCCTTTCTTTTGAAAACTCAAGACAAACTTGTCTTGACAGCAATGTCTATTTTTTATTTTGATTACAATTCCACAATAGCTAAAACATAAGTGACAGAAAATGTGAATATGAGGCTTCAGATTTCACATTCTTCAGACAAACGAATCCCTTTTCACAGTTTATTTATACAGTGTTCATGTTACACTATTTACATAAAGAACTTGCGTGTGTGGGGGAGGCAATTTAAGTACATTTTAGTGTGTAATTATAGGTCACATTGTTCATAACTGCATATTAAAAAATAAATAACACGCTAAAGACTCAGTCTGACAATATATGTGGTGTCATAATATTCCGTGTCACGTTCTGCTCAACTATCCTCCGCATCTCCTTCAAGGCCCGAGCTTGCATCAGAATGTGGTTTTTGGCCAGGAGCAGCGTCGCTATCTTGGAGAGTTTTTTCACGGTTTGATTCGGTGTGTACGGTATGACCGCTCGCAGGTCATCAAGCGCGTCGTTAAGATCGTGCATGCGTCTCCGTTCACGAGCATTGATAAGCAGCCGCAGCGCTCTGGGTTTCTTGACTGTTCCGCTGCTGGGCACCGAGTCTCCGTGAAATCCATTTTCCAGAAACTGAAAACCTTTTCTGTCCATCTCCGATGCTGTCTCTTCGATTATGCGATGGCCCGTGGTTAATTCATCGGAGGGGTGCGTGGGAACTCCTTCACCGAGGCTCTGACCGTAGCTGCTCATGGAGATGTGGAAGCGCAGTTCACAGTCTTGGTCACCAACCGGCAGTGGATTCATTCTCCTGATATTCATTCTGTCAGCAAATATGACTGTATTATTTGTCCACGTCCCTTGTCGTTAGAGTGTGCTGCAGTAAAGGCCTATTTGACCTGTCGAAACTTTTGAAGGATTAACAGTCTGTCCAATCAAATCTGCGTCCCGTCACACAAACAACAAACAGGTGCTGTTTTTATCTATTAGGAAGCGTATTGTTTTACAGTCATAATAACAATGATATTAAAAATATGTTTACTTGATGTAAGATGGCATTTTGCTTTTATAAACATTTAGTCGACATCCAAAACTGTTCATAATTTTCAATCTGTATATTTTGGGGATAAATGTCAAATGTCAGTAAAGAATTGTAGACTAAATAAAAGCAAAAAATGAAAGCTATAATAAATAGGCTATTTCATTATTTTAAGCAATTACATAATAGGCTTATTTTTTATTGTAATTTCTATCATTTGTATGCCAACTGGTCAAATATCTGTTCCAGAGAATTTGATATTGATATTTGATATATAATTTTATATTGGTGATATTCTGTCATATAAACTGAATTTGTGAGGAATGGAAAAGACTGTCTTTGCTTTTGGAAACTGGGTCATCACGCCAAATTACTACTGGGTGTTAATCTACCCTGTGTATGCATGCAAGAGAGTGGAGACATTTTCAAAAATCTCGCTCAAAAAGTCGGAAGGAAACTGGGCTGCACACAAACACTGTTTTTGAATGACAGTAGGCCTATGGTAATAGTAAATGCTAAACAATTAATGTAACACATTATTTATTTTAGGGAAACAGTTGGCCCCCATTGTGTAAACAGATTTTATGTCAGTCAAAAATTATATAATAAATGACAATATTCCTCCCACACCCGAGAAATGCCCCAAACAAGTCTGATTAATTAGTCATCATTTACTAATGCAAATGAGCATGATTAAAATTAGACTTGCAGCAGTGGAGAAATCCTGGAGGGGGTTGATGGAAGGCAATCCAGTATTTTATGATAAGGGGAAACACATCTGTTCAATAAGTGAGAGTTGATGGCCTAATTTGTTTATTCTAATCATTCAAATGCAAACATGATTCTATTAGCCATAACCATGTAAAATAATGATAGACTCAGAGAAATTATATGAAATAAAAAAAACAAAAAAAACATTTTGGATTATTGGCAGTGCTGGGTGAGCCCGGTCTCATGAAAATGCGTATAAATAGTAGGCCAAATACAAACAGAAAATCGTGGTATTGATACGCACCCACCAATTCACTATCTCAACAAATTAGAATATGGTGACATGCCAATCAGCTAATCAACTCAAAACACCTGCAAAGGTTTCCTGAGCCTTCAAAATGGTCTCTCAGTTTGGTTCACTAGGCTACACAATCATGGGGAAGATTGGGGGGGGTGGGGGTGGCACGTGACAAAGAGAACACACTCTATGATGGCGGATCCAAAAGAGTTACTTTTAATAAAACTTTAATTTCTTCGTTTAATAGCCTATAGGTGAGTGTCTTTATTGTTGCTGGGTTTCCATTAAAAATAAAGAAATTAAATAAAAAATAACAATGAACCACAAACTGCATTCGTTTTAGATAAGGGAAAATACCTTATTTATTTGGGTTACAACGCAAGGCTAGATCTTATTAATTTTGTTAATAAAAGTTAGATGTTTAATATATGCGAATTTGCCATTGTACTATTTTATGGCTGATGTGTTTTAATTAATAAGATAATAAACCACAAATT